ATTATATTTTTGATAGTAACCGACATAAGTAACCCTCACCCCGATGTAGGAATTCGAACTGATTTATGATGGTTCAACATACAAACAGCAATTTGTTTTGATGGTTTGTTAAATGTGAACCATCAGAAATTTCCATTATAATTTCTTAGAAATGAAACGTTGGAACAATCTTGAACCATCATTGCCTCAATGTAGGAATTCGTACTGATTTATGATGATCCGAAATTGAAAAAAAATTTTTTTTGCTAATATATTCCGGAGAACCAACAAGAATTTCCCTTAAACCATCATGGAAATGCATAGTTGGAACCATCACAGACCACCACGAATTTCCATCATATTATCTAAGAAATCGAATGTTGGAACGATTATGAATAACCATCACCCCAATGTAGGAATTCGGTCTGATTTATGATGATCCAGCATTAAAAAAGACCAAATTGTTTTGATGGTATATTCCTGAGAACCAACAAGAATTCCCACTAACCCATCAATGAAATGTATAGTTGGAACCACCATGGACCATCATGGATTGTTGGTCCACGAGAATCAAACTTCTCTTGATGGTTAACCATCATAGTATTAAAGTAGCATTCACCATCGTGGAATGATGGAAGTTTGTTGCATTATCAAACGCCATGAACTCATAATGAAAAATGTTGGATGATGGGGGCCATCAAATGATGTTGGACCATCGTGAATTCCACTGAAACCAACCTAAACCATCAAAATGTGTTGATGGGACCATCAAGAATTTTAACTTGAGTTAAAAATACGAACCGTTTGAATAAAGTATGTAAAAAGAAATTAAAGGAGTTATTCTAGTTTACATTCGAAAACAATTGTGAGATTTTAAAGGAATTATAAACTCAATATTGCTTATATTAAACGCTAAACATATATCTTTAATGCTTATTGGAGAGAAATGACAGCATTTAAAAACATATTTACAAAATCAAATGAAAAACATTTAATCTAAATGCATTTTTATTTAACTTTTAGAGCAAAACTATTTCTTATTCAAAGTTCGTTAAAGGAAAAGTACTAAAAATGTCGTATAACTTAAATAAAAGTAACTACTCAAACTGTAGTCAATGTATGAACACAATTATTTACACTAAAACCAAAATGCACAAAACTGTCAAGCATGTAAAAATATAAACCGTTGGAATAGAGTACGCAAAATAAAATTATGTTTTATTAGTTTTATTTGTAAAATAAAATTATCTTTTATTAATTTTATTTGTAAAGCAAAATTATGTTTTATTACTCAACATTAGTGTGATATTATAATTTAGATCAATAATTTTTCTGCAATCTTAAAATTAAAATATTACACGTACCATAAGAGAAATGCAATTTATTAAAAAAATGAAAAAAAGGGCAATTTTTTAAAAGAACTTTTTTTTTCTTTCGAGGATTAAAATTCAAAGTTTTAAATTAAGCAAACGATCCTGTTAAGAAAGACCAAACTTGTGGATGAGTACATTTGAGAAAATGGGCTCGTTACCGATGTCTTAATTATTTTATTTAATAGCCCTCGTTGAACAGCCGACCCAATTTTTGGGTTTACGACAACCAACGTTCAACTCTGTAACCTTGTATTTTTGAACCCAGTGCAGAAGACAAGGGAACTCCTGAATCAAGTATTGAAAGAAATTTGCCTTCGTGGAGGAAGGACTTTTTGGTGAAACTAACCCGCATTTGCATTACATGGAGAGGAAGGCCACGAGAACCTCCCACAGTTAGCCTGACTGCAAGGGGACTTTAACCCACGATCCGTCTACCACTGAGGATATTTCACGTCAGCACTGTGGTCGGTGCAAGCCGGATGCGGAATTCGCATCTACCAGCCATCGCTAGAATTCGAACCCGGTTCACATCAATTTAAGGCGAACGCTCTATCCCCTGAGCCATCACGGCTCAAAACTAAGTGGGATGATGGGAAATGGGATAGTGGATGTAATAATCTTAATTTTTGCTCAGCTATGAAAAAAAAAATTATTATTATTTTTTAATTACGTCTCAACTGCGAAAAAATTTGCCTTTTGGCAAATAATTGGGGGGGGGGAGCACATGCCCCTCAATACTCCTTTGACGCTACGCCTACTGCGATTAACAAACAAGTTTTAAAATCATCATTTTTTAATGTTTAGTCGCGCTACTGCCATTGACCTTTAATTTTCATCGATACCAGAAATAACACGTTTCTTTCGAAAAACAGTGAACACTCTTCTATACTGGGATTGGGCAAAATAATGGTAACACTTCTATACTAAAAATTTTTTTTTTTTTTTTATCTTTCTCAAAAAATACTTAGAGAGTCATTTTATAAATTTAGATGTCCTTGGGCAATGCGATTTCTTATACTTATTAATGAAATTAAAAGTTTTTGGTGGTTTGGGGGGACCAAGAACTGATAACAAACGGAAAATAGTGTTTTCGTACACCTAGTGCCAAAATCTGTAGCAATAAATTTGTAACGAGTGGTAATTATTGCGGTTTGCATATGCGACAATTACACAAAATTTCATAGACCTAGCTGAAATATTAATGGAAATATGGACATTTTTATAAAAAAAGTAGTTTTTATTTGTCTTGCGTTAACCTTGAAAATGTTCGATAAAATAAACAAAATTTTAGGAGCAGTTTAAAATAAATTACAAAATTATAGCTGAAAAATTTGTTTATAATGGCGCAAGATAGAAGTAATTAAATTAATTCTTTTATACTGCACGGAAAAAAATTAAATTTTTTTTCTCTTCATAATTTTGCATTGAATCGTATTCTACAAATTTCATTTTGTACTATTAAGCAAGGTTTAATAAAAATGGCACGGGCTTTGTTGGGGTCATCCCCCATAAAAGTATATTTTCCTTTGTATGTTTTCGTTCCTTATGTAATCACATTTTGCAGGGCCGAATTACCCATTAAGGCCAGACTAAGCCATGGCCTGGGGCCCCCAATGATTAGCGGCCCCCTTAAAAAAAATTTCTTTTCTATTAAATTTTAAAAAATTAAGAAAAACAATGATTTTTTTAGAAAAAAATCAATTTCAAATATATATTAATAAAATACGATAATTATTTTAGTTCTAATTTAACAAAATAAAGTAAAATTTAATTTATTATTATTTATTTTTATTTTAAATTTGTCTTTCTTGAATGAAAAGATATATAAATACTTTTATATTTGAATAAATGAAAAATATACGAGAAAAAAAAATTAATTTAAGGGCCCCAAAAATTTGAATGGCCTAGGGCCCCACGTACGCTTGATCCGGCCCTGACATTTTGGTGTATGAACATTTATTGGAAGGTATTATCATTTGTTATTTAATTTTGTCTCATGAATAATATTTGTAGAAAACCCCTTATCATGTTGAGCTTTCTTTTAAAGAGTGCAAAAACTACTTAGGAAATTGATTGAAACTTTTTAAATTTTTAAGACGTTCAAATAAGACTTTTTATTAGTTGTCAAGCCCGATTCTCTTCAAAATTATGAAGAAAAAAAAAGTTTTATTTTTCATGCGTAGTACAAAAAGATCTACTTTAATTACTGATATATTAAACAGTTTTTCAACGAAATTTTTTAAAATTTTGAAGTGAAAATTCAAAAAAATTTATTTTGTAATTAATTTCAAACTGCTCTGAAAATTTTGTTTAATTTTTTGGAATATTTTTAAAGTTATAGCAAAAGAAGAAAAAAAAACATGAGACAAAAAAAGTATTTTTTATAAAAATTTTCATACGTCCATAAATATTTAAGCTAGGGTTAGGAAAATGTATACAATTATTGCATATAATATCCAAATTGATTGTTAAAAGTTACAAATTTATTGCTACTATATCTTTTGACAAAGGGCGTTCAGAACATAATTTTTTTTTTCGTAATTTATTGTTGGCCCCTCAAATCTCTAACAGCTTTAAACTTCATTGATATGTTTGAGAAATCGCATAATCTAAACACTTCTGAAATTATAAAATGATTCCTTAAGTATTTCTTAAGAAATGTGAAAAAATGTGTGAGTATAAGAAGTGTTTCTATTATTTTAGTCACCCCCTGTTATTCGAGTGGTATTATCATTCACGTTCAAAAACTTAGGAACGTTGAACCATAAGATTGCTTAAATATGATTCAACTTTAATAAGGTGATAAGTTGAAAAATATATTCAGTAATTTATGAATTTGATTAAATGATAAAATGGTTCAATTTGAATGAAAAATTGCTTCAACTAAAACAGACACTTGGTTCTTCTTGTCGGTAATTTAATAATACTTCAAGGTCAAATTGGTTCAATTTGACCGGAAAATTGATTTAACTTGAACCGAAACATGGTACAACATTTTAAGTTCATCGATATTATGGTACAACTTCTAACCAATTTTTTTTAAAGAAACTTCGCAAAATATACATTCTTTTATTTCATCTATTCCTATACTTCAATGAATATACTAGTAGTAAAATATGCAAAGCGTGAAATATGAAAAAAGACCCTTAATAACTTTTTATCTAATAATAAATCATCCTATTCTTAGTTTTTGCATAGATATTGAAGATATTAAGTAATTTGAAACCAAAAGTTAGATACGCTAACAATAAACAGGATGATCTCACACCTGCGAAACATTAAAAAATTTTAATTCTTCTGAAACTTCTTTTACAAAGTTTTATTTTTAAATTTCTGCTAAGTAAAAATGGAAAATTCAGTCGTAATTCGTAATTTATTAATTTTGCGTTTAAATATATTTATATAGAACTATTTTGTATTTATGCCTACAAATTTAAATACTGAAACATATTTAAATACATGCATTTAAAAAAAAAGTTATTTGTGTAATAATAATAATAATAATATGAATATAAATAAGATAAGAAGTATTGTTTATGATTTTGTTTACATATTATTTGTTTACCGAGTTTCTTCTGAATAAACTAGATGGCGCCACACAAGTCGTCTTCAAAACTTGGAAATTATTTCTTTTATTACTCGGAGCTCAACTTGTTGCGTTCCTCCGCTTCTCCGTTTTCTGCCAATGGCAGTTAAGTAAATGCCGTAACTCGGTCCTTACGTTCAGCGCCTGCGTACTCTTAGCTTTCTAACTTTTTCTCCCGTCATACTTCCGCAACCTATCCGGCAACAAAGCGGTCTTATATTGTCGGTGAATCGTGCGCACATCGCAACTTCTCTTTTACGGAAAATCTTTTTCAATTCAGACTTTTCCATTCGCAAAGAAAAACAGCAATATTTTATCGCATAACTCTGAATTAAACATTTGCTTGAAATCATCTGTTCGTTACAAATGGAATAAATCTACTTTGAGATCGTTTTCAAATTATAAAGAAAAGAAAAAATACAATCAAAACTATTTTATTTCTACTAAAACTTTGACTTGTGTTTGAACGCAGTTTAAAAACTATGAATCTGTGCTTGAAATCAAGAAACTAATTATCGTCTGCTTTTCTTTAAATAAAAAAAATCGTTTTCAAATAAAATTTTGTGAAATTTATTGAGCCCATGAGAGGTGATTTGAAGACCAGCATGATGCCACTGGCTCCAGCAGCCATGTTGCCTTCTCACCGAACCGCAACCAGTTCTAATAAGCCAAAATTAGGTTTTTCTATCGAATCTATCGTTGGTCTTGAGCCATCATCAAAGAATAAAAGTCCTCCTGTTCCAGAAGACGATGACCATTGCTCTGACGGCGAAGTGACTACTTTGACACCACCACCAGCACACAGTCATTCAAAACTTACAACATCAAGCAATTCACCTTTTTATAGAGTTGGTGAAGACCTTTATCCTAGTTACGGACAATATACTCCCCAAAGGATACCACCAACAAGAGCACCAGAATATGCACATCGAGGTGAAATGTTATCTCCCCATGGACAGCATGGTGCTCTGCCATATCCATCTGTGATGTCTCCTTATGGAGCAGCCATTGGACTTGGACATTGCCATGGACAATATCCATTATCCTCTTATCTGGTCAACAGGGACTATCCTTCCTATACATGGATGATGTCTAGGCAACAGCCTAGAATTTTACCTTACAGACCGCAAGGTGAGTTAGAAAAAATTTATTTTTAATATATTTTAATTTATTAAGTTAATATATTTTTAGTTCGTCAATTACAAAACTGATTATATCCAGATGAAAAAATAGGTGCAGTGGCTAAAATATTTCTGAAATAACATTTTTGGGGGAAAAAATAATGCAGAAAAAAGAATCTAACAACCTACTTTTGTGTACTTAGTAATGAAGTTCGTTTTGTTTTTAAATTGAACCAGTGTCTAAATACAGAAGCTTTCAACGACCTTAATTGTATATTTAGCAATATTATTTATTTTTGATTAGTAAATAGTAGTGGCTAAAATATTTTACTAATGACATTTGGGGGGGGGGGTAAACAAAGACATGTAAATAAATGTGAAAACTTATTTTTATGAATTAGTGACGAATTAGCCTTAATGAATAATGAGATTTTAATGAATTAGTATTAAGGCGTGTTTTTTTTAAAAAAATTGAAGTGATAGTGAAACAAAGAAATTTTCAAGGGCCTTAATCGTAAATTTGGAAATACTGTATGTTTTCGATAAATAAATTGTGATAGTTAAAATATTTCTTTCATGCCATTTTTAAGTGGAACATCATGCAAAAAAACGAATGTTAAAACCTAATATATATATATATATATATATGAAGTGGGAGTTAAGCAAAGTAGTCTTTACTTAATTGTAAATTTGTCAATACTTTGTTTCTTACTAGAAAGCAATCAAAGTCGAACTAACAAATTTAAATTGACATCCAAATCGTAAATGTTCTAAATATTGATAAATATTGAAATAACATCCTTATAAGCGATATGTTAGCTTTAACTATTAACAGTAAAAATCATTTGTCTATAAATAATTTGTAGTATTTAAATTACAATCACTCTCGTATTTCAATAAGACATTCGTTAAATTAACTTCTAAAGTTTGCACTAGCATAGTTCAATAAGATATTCATTAATTTAACTTTCAAACTTTACACTTCCTTATATCAATTAGACATTTGTCCAAAATAACTTTCGAACTATACGCTAACATATGTCACTAAGAAATTTGCTAAACTGAACTTCTAAACTAACGTGCCTATAAATATTTCGTTAAAATTAATCCTGACGCTATACATTAAGATGTCCTGATATAAAACTAAAAATGAATTCTAAATTTTACACCATTAAATAATTTCTGATTAAAATTTTATAAGTAAATAAAGTGTAATTATGAAAATTTTACTTAAAAATATATCTTTTAGTGAGAAAAATATTTTAAAAATGTGCCTTGGTTATAATAATTTGATTTAATTACAAATTGTTTTTTTCTTTTTCTCTAATTGAATTATATTTTTACTGTTTTTGTAAAATGGAGTGTTAATATAAGGTAAACATATGTTACTGAGAAATTTGTTAAAATTAACTTCAAAACAGACGTGTCTATAAATATTTCGTCAAAATTAATCCTCACGTTTTACATTAAGAGATTCTGAAATGAAACTAAAATTAAATAATAAATTTTACACCATTAAAAAATTTGTTACTCGTATTAATATTTTGAACATAAATTGACTGTAAATATTAAAACTTTATTTGTAAATATATTTTTCGTAAGAAAAATATTTTGAAAATGTGCCGTGGTTATAATAGTTTGTGATTTAATAGTTCGTTTTCTCTAATTAAATTATATTTTTACTGTTTTTGTAAAATGGAGTGTTAATATAAGGTAAATAGGGTTATATATAAGTGTGGAAGTTGATAATTACTAATTATAAATTAATAAATTTCACAAACCATTGAAAAAAAAGCTATTTAATTTTAACTTAGTCGTTTATTTTTTAGAAAAACTGGCCGAATCTCATAATGACAAAAAAAAACATGACTTTATTTTCGTAAGATGCTAATTTACCAAACTTTTTCACGGTTACAAATTATTCCCCGTAACTGTCTCAAATTTTGAACTGAAATTATTTTTTAAACTGTTTCAAGTTTTGAAACTGGTCAAGAATACTTAGTTACTGATGAAGCGTTGTTATTTAGCTTACTTTTGCATTAAAAGAACAAGTTTTTAGAAGTATATTTTTTAAACAATTATACATAATCTAATCAATAATGCTTTGAAATGTTGAAAATTGAAATTCCATCTCACCCCCTAAGACAATATATATCAGGGGTCTGTTTAAAAGAAATTTGGGTCCGTTAACGGACCCTTCACAAAATATCTTTTCTTATAAACGGGCCCTTCACAAATTATTTTAACTTAAAANCTTCACTAATTTGTTTATCTTCATTATTGTTTTGTTAATCGAATAAACCCTTCCCAGGGGGGAAAACAAGATAGACAGATGTAAACGAATTAAGTTTTGTCTTCGGCAGATGCTTCTTCCATTTTTCGTCCGAAAGGAATATTCTGCGTTCAGCAGTATAGGCTAAATACCAAATATATGTATGTTGCATCTCTAATTTAGGAGCAGCAATTGCTGTTTATTTCTGAAAATTTATTTTTTTTAAATTATAATTTTTCAGTGTTGAGCATAATCTTGTATCTATTTACAATTTAAAAACTCCTTCAAAAGTTTTTTGCCATAACAGGACCCTATTTGCACAAAATCATAAAAGCAGGACCCTGGCTGAAAGAATGTGACTTAACGTTTATTTTATATTCACAAATTAGGAGTAATTTTTTCACAATTTTACAAAAACAGGACCTTTTACAAAATGTCTGGATAGACTCCTGTATACAAAATAACATAATATTTAAAAAAAAATCACACGACCAAGTAATGACTATGTAAAGAATAAAACATAGGATTTTCTTAAAAACATTCGCGAACTATATAAAGAAGAATAACATAAACTGCTGATGTCATAAAGCTTTGAAGCGAGAATTAAATATAGGATTTTCTTAAAATTAATTTATCTTATTTCATTCGTTATCTTCAGCAAAAATTTAAAGCAAGTTAATCGAAGAAGTGTAACTTTAAAATCAGAGTTCTTTCTCACAGAAAAAAGCACTTTAAGTTTTGAAAGGGCACTCACTTAACACAGTAAAAATGTATCAAAATGTGTAATATTATGTAATAAATGAACTCGATCCTCAATAATTTTTAAATTACCCTATTATATTATTTTATACATATATATGTTCAAAAAGTAATTCTCACTTATTGTCAAAACAAGAAGAGAAAAAAATTATAGTAGAAAAATTCATTAAAAAAATAATTAAAGCATGCTCTCTGTGCCCAATTTTTCAAAAAAGGTAAACTAAAAAAATGATTAATTGATAAATAGCTTATTTTCTATAATTTAAACTGAAAATTATGAGAAATTTTTATTTCTCATTTAAAGGCGCAATTCTTTTTTAGAACATAAGAATATTTATTTAAAAAGTAATTTTAAAATTTTAAATCTCTTAAAAATTCATTAATGTACCCCTCCCACCCGAAAAAAGAAAAATTCATATAAATTTAACCATTTGAGACTAATCTTAACAAAATGAATTTGTACTAATCAGAATTAAACTTATGAACACTGATAATTTTACCAGTGTGTAATTATTTAAACAGAGAATTAACTTTTTTTAAAAATGGAATATAAATGAAAAGACAATATTTTTAACGGATGGTGGCTTGTTTTCAAAAAAAGGGCAAAGAGGGTGCATTTATAGGGATAAAGGGTATGCACGGCCTTCTAAAAACTCTTAGGGTAAAAAGTAAAATATTGTCTGATAAAGTTAATAAAGATTACAAAAATACAGTTCGAGTTAACAAACAAAAATCTGTAACACGTAATTTCGTCAAGTGTTTTGTAACAAACCAGCAAGAGGAAAAAAAAACTATCAATTTTATTAAATGCATTCAATTTTAGCTAATGAGTTAAGAACATAGTAACAACTTACAGCTTTATTATTCTAAATATATTAATATATATTTATAGTTTTGCATAAGAAATTATTATTATTTTTTATTATTATTACTCTTTTAATACATAAATAAAAACTAAGTTTATTATAATAAAGTTTATTAATAAAAATAATACTTATTTTTTTTATCTTAAAAATTATTTATCTATACTTCATAAAAAAGGGGAAAGACTAAATTTCTTTCGTCTGTAAACCTTTCCGATTAGTTTTTTCTTTTCTTAATTGATCAAAAATTTAAAAGCAATATTAATTTTGAAAAGATCTACTGATAAACACTTAAAATAGAGGGAGGGTGAAAGAAACAAAAATGGTTTGCTAGCTTACGCTAAACAATGGGAATATCTCTTTCCAATTCCATTTGTTTAATGACTTATCTGTATAATGTCCATCTGTAATAATACACGAAAATGAATTTATGTAATGACCCCTCCTTGCTGTTCTTATAGAAATAGTTTACCATTACCTCCAATTCCCATTACCAAACGTAAAGCCTAGTTCCTATGTCCAGTTGAATTGCTTTTTCACTGTTTTGAAACCATGCTAGTTGTAAATGGTTAAAAATTTGTATAGTTTTGTGTTCATGATTTTATAATCATACTAGTTGTAAACGGTTTAAAAACCATGCAGGTGAAAAAAATGTTCTTTACCGTTTGCGGTTAATCGGACAGACAGACTGCTACCAGGTATTTTACCACAATTTTAGGATGAAAATTCAAACAGTGTAGGTTTGTCTGAACTCGCTTTTNACAGAAGCAATGGCGGACAACATCCAACAGCAGATTGAAATCAGCCAAGATTTTGATTTTAACATTAAGCATAGCTTCTTCATTAAACATAGCACTCTTCATTTAGCTCAGCTATAATGTGTTTTTTCTAGGACAAAGTCATTATTAGTTCTCTAAAGCACTGGTCGACAATAACAAAATCAATACAAATTCAAAATAAATATTTGTTTACGTTATTAACGCATGCGCAGTGGGAGATAATGTCTGCTCTGAACCGACTGCTCACGCTGAGCTAACAAAAAAGTATTTTTTTGGCGTCAGAGGTACGTCAACTTCGCTGACGCCCAGATAAGGCGCTTGTCCTAAGAAACCGGGC